CGGCGATGGCTGTGCTGTTGGAAACGAGCAAGGGGGACATCGTGGTGGACCTCTACGTGGAGGAGTGCCCGCGCACGTGCCTCAATTTCCTGAAGCTGTGCAAGTGAGCTTGTCGGACGTGGCTGCCCCGAGGCTGCCGGCCAACGCGGTCGTCTTTGCTTTCCTGTGCCAGTGATATCGGCGTTGGGCAAGGCGCTGTCGTAGGCCTGATTGCAGGGATTGAGCGGAGGAACGTGCATCAATGAGCGTCCGTTGGCCCAACCTCGTTTCAACGCGGAGGCTGCACAACAGTGGGATACCCGGTGCAGTGTGCCCGCTTCAGGGCGCCGAAACAAGAGATTTGAATCACCAGATTCAAGTTCAATGGTCGCCCGCTTTGAGGAATGAAGTCTATGGTAGCACTTTTGGAGTGCCGTTACCGTTCTTTCGTTTGCCTGCGCCCCAGCACTGTGTGTCTCAGGGAGGCGGGCTGCCTGAACGAAAACATGACTGGTTTCAGAATAGGATGGTGTTGTACAAATTCCCTGTATGAGCTGTCGCAAGTAGTGGAAAGATCGACACCATCGCCTCTACCCCATCGGGCTAGACTCTTGGCTTTGTGATAGCGGTCCTTGTTCCCAATTCCTCAGGAGCATGAGAGCAATGCCAGCGGAGCAAGCATGTGGACTGAAAGGGCGCCTGTATGCCTTTCAGAATCAAGTACTACAACAACTGCCTCTTTCACAACATCCAGCACAACTTTATTGCACAGACTGGCGACCCAGATGGGACTGGAAGGGGAGGTTCATCAATCTTTGGGTGAGTCCTCCTGAAGCTGTGTCAGCCGGGTGGGTTGCGGCATCAAGGCCAGCACCCCTGACAGGCGTCTGCTGATGCCCTGCAAGTGGTCTCTCGTCGATGTTTGTATTGGAAAAGTCGCTGCCAACCAGCTCAAGTGTTGCGTCGCGTCATCCCTGACTTGTGGTTGTTGTTGCTGCCCTGAAACACTTCCTCTTGCTCTTTCTTCAGTGTATCTGCAGTGGGCACTGATAGTCGTGAATGACCATCGAGCGACCTACTGGGGATTGTGACTTGATGTTCTCATTGTCACTTGAGGCTCCATGCTGCCTGCATTCTTGATTTGCTTAGTCTGGCAGAGGCAATGACGTGATTTTTGGCACAGGATTTACTGGCCCCGGCTGCACTGTGGGGAAATTCTGACGGCGATCTGGGTGGCATTGATCTGAATCTTGTTGCCATTGCAGGGTTATGTATGGTGAACAAGCACGCTTCTTTGAAGATGAAATTCGCCCCCAGCTCAAACACAAGAGGAAAGGAACAGTGGCGATGGCAAATGCTGGAAAAAACACTAATGCCAGCCAATTCTACATCTCAACCGGAAAGGACTTGGATTCGCTTGATGAGACCCACACAGTATTTGGAGAAGTGACAGAGGGTTGGGAAACTCTGGATGCTATAAATGATGCCTACTGTGACAATGATGGGCGACCATATCAAAACATCCGGATTCACCACACCATAGTGCTGGAGGACCCATTGGATGACCCGCCCCTGTTGGCAGACCACATTCCAGACAAGTCGCCAGAGGCTGTGGCCGATGGGGGCGATCGGCTTGAGGATGATTGGCAGCCAGCTGAAGATACAAGGTGCCTGCTATGCGGCAGTCTTCCTCCCCTTCTTGGCTGCCACTGCAGGAACACTTGTCAACAGTTTGCTGACGTCAATGGAAGTCGGCTTGTGATTGTCAGCTTGTCATGATGTCAGCTTGTGGCGATAGTCTGTGCTCAATGCAATGCGGGATTGTACATGGTGTCGGGATTTTTTCTTGGAACCAGAGGACCAGATCTGAAACGAGAGCCCAGGGACATTGGAGGAGTAGTTTCATTCCAAATATTGAAACTTGCCAAAAATTCAGTTCAATCGATTCCGAATCCAACATCATGTATTCTGTGCAAATGCACGTTTCGATTCAGTTGGATATGTATCAAACACATTGACCATTGAGTAACTGGTGAAATGTTGTGGACACAACTTTGATTCTGTGCTGTGTTTCACTCATCGATATGCAGACCTGTGCACAGTGATGCATGTTCTGTGTTTGTTAGCAGAGCAGGGTGTACTATTTTTATCCAGATGCTTACTCTACTACTGTGTCCACTCAGTTGTTGTCTGTGGCATCTGTACAGGCCAGCTGAGGAGATCGAAGAGGAGGTCCGCCGACGTGAGGCCCACCATCACGCAGTTGTCCTTGAGATGATCGGTGACCTTCCTGAGGCGGATGTCAAGCCACCATCCGACATGCTCTTTGTGTGCAAATTGAACCCTGTCACAACAGAGGAGGATCTGGAGATCATATTTTCCAGGTTTGGAAAGGTCACCTCCTGTGACATCATCAGGGACTGGAAAACTGGCGACTCGCTGTGCTACGCGTTCATAGGACTGGAATCCGATGAGGCCTGTGAGGAGGCGTATTTCAAGATGAACAATGTCCTGATTGACGACCGTCGCATAAAGGTGGACTTCAGCCAGAGCGTGTACCATATTTGGCGGCATTTTCGGCGCTTTGGGCGGAAAGGGGACAAGGCACTGTTGGAGGCGCAGGAGAAAGGGCAGGTCCCTAGAAAGGGGCCAGCACCAAGGCAGGATGCGTCTAGCGGTGTGGAGATGAGAAGGGGGAACAGGCCGGATGACTACAGGATGGTTCTGGATGAGAAGGCCATTTTGAATTCTACTTTGGAAGACAGTATCAGGAGTGATTCAAAGTCAGAGGATGGCAGGAAAAGGAGAAGAGAGGACTCTCGAGAAAACAGAGGTGCTGCAAGAAGATGGGACAAGAGGGATGGCATGGAGGACAGGGAAGAAGGGAGGCATAGGAGGGTAGGATCGGAGGCAGAAGAGCGGAGGGGGGATGAAAGAAAGCACAGGAGCCGCAGTGATGGCAGGCCGCATGGCAGGGATTATGCGGGCTCCCATCCCAATGAACGCCACAAGAGGGAACCTGGGAGAGAGTGTGGCAGAGTGCACCAGGAAAGGCATCGAGACCGCAGGCGAAGTCAATCTGAGGATCGGGAACACGATGTGCACAGCGAGGAAGACGATCGGCATCAAAGAGTATACAAGAGGGAGCGTCAGGGTCGCCGCCGGAGAAGCAAATCAGGCGAGAGGGAGCATATTACAAATGGGGAAGCGAGCGAGAGCGTGATGAGAGAGCGTGGCGATCGGCGCCATGACAAACACAGAAGTCGCAGACGGAGCGAGTCCAAGGACCGAGAGGGAACAAGGGATCGAGAGGGAGACAGTGATGGTGGCGGAGGTGCCCACAGAAAACATCACAGCCACAGGCGACATGAATCAACCGAGCGTGAGCATTCTCATTCTCATGGCCGCCATCACAGCAGCAAGAAGTCGCACAGGCACTGAAAAGAAGGCAGGGCCGCGTGTCTGGTGGCAGCACAGGGACAGCACAGGGGCGTTGCATTTGTTGTGGATATTGCGAATTACTTCGTTCCTCCAGGGGCGACGCCGAACAAACAGAGAAGTGGGGGACGCTGTTGCAGCAATTGCAGGAAAAAAAAGGAAAAAAAACACGAGAGAAAAGGGATGCAAACTAAGCATGGTGCTGAATTGCTACCAGCATCTGTATGCACTGGTTCAGAATGGCTTTTGAGAGGCTCCAGGCCCCAACGTCACCTTCCGCGGTACACCTGGACAATCGGCGACGCGCTTAGATCTGACTCAACTCAGAGTCGCCGTCAAAGTTCTCCTCCCACCTCCACGGGCCTGTCGAACGCTTCGCTATGCGACCCAAAACACAGAGAAAGGGCGAATGCTCGCGCAGCCGCAAATCTACCCCTGTAACGCTGTGACACGGTCCTCGTAACTTGGTAACGCCCTCGGGCCCCCCCCGCCATCCCCCCAACACGGCCAGAGACCAGGAGCGGCGGTGTCGGCCGCGCGATCTGAGATTGGCCGCAGTCGCAGGCCCCCCTCCGCCCGCCGTACATGTTGCCGGCCAGGGCGGGAGTCGGGAACCCGGCTCGCGCCCCGCAGGCGCCCCGGGCTCCCATCCTCGCCCCCCCTCCTTTGCCGGGCAGCCCTCCCCGTCGCCATGCTCTCCTCGCGGCATCGCCTCACTGCCAAACAACCCCGCTCGTTGTGGTCACACGCGAGCGCGGGAAGAACGCAAAGCTGATTTCCGCCCTGGCCGCCAAGGGGATCCCTCACGCACTGGAGCTGCCCCTGATCGAGCACGCGGACGGCCCGGACAGGGCCGCCCTGCCGGAGGTCCTGCGGGCCCGGCACTTCGCCTGGGTGGCCGTGACCTCCCCCGAGGCCGCGGCGGTGTTTCTCGCGGCGTGTCCCATCGAAGGCCACCGCCAAAGTGCTGGCGGCGGAGCTGCCGGTTGGGAACAACGGATCCGGGTCGGTCTTGTACCCGGCGTCGGCAAAGGCTGGCGGGGACCTCCAGGAGGGGCTGGAGGCGCGGGGGTTCGAGGTCACGCGGCTGGACACTTATGACACGAGGCCTGCCAGCCAGGTGGACCTTGGGGACCTGGAGGCCGCCGTGGGGGCGGACGTGGTGACGTTCGGGTCGCCGTCCGCTGTGGGGGCGTGGGTGGCGCTGGCGGGGGAGGCGGGACGCGCGGGTCCGGCATTCGCATGCATCGGCAGGACGTCCGGCGAGGCCGCGCGGCGCGCGGGTCTGGGGAGGGTGTTCTACCCGCAGAGGCCGGGAATGGAGGGCTGGGTGGCGGCGGTCATGGACGCCCTGGACGCCGCGCGGGAGTCTGTGGTCTGAAAACGGAGGGCGGCGTTTGGGTATTGACGCTTTCTTCGCTTATTTATTGGCGGGAGGTGGGGGATTGCATGGAGCTGTACATTAAGCGCGTTGACCCTGTCAGGTTTTCAGACAGAAAGCACGCAGAAATGCATGTCAAAGTTTGAAATCAAATGACAGTCCTCGTGACTGTGGAGTGCCTCGGGTGTGGAATGTGAATGATTCACTCCCAGTCCTCCACAAGGTTCACTTGATCGTCCTCGAGACCCTTCACAATCTGGGAACCTCCCCCTGGTACCGCCCTTGCACTGAAGTCCCCCCACACCTGCCCACCCTCATCTCTAGGCCCGCCAGTGTCGAAGTTCTCTCCACCATAGCCTACTGCCGGCCCGGCAGAAGGGCTGTCCTGTGAGTAGCCACCGTCCTGGTACCAATCAGGCTCCTCTGACCAGCCCCATGCACCAAAGGGTCTGCCGCTCGGCTGCGGGAGCCCGAAATCCTGCCTGTACCAAGGCTCCTCTTCAGGACTTTCTTCCTCAGAACCGCTTGAGTCGGATGTCGATGGGGCGCTGGGACCGATCTGCTAGAGAGTCTTGAGAAGTCAGAACAGAACTGCCACAGGGCGCAGGGCAGGGAAGAGCAACATCATGATGTCAACAGGATGGAACAAACGACACGTTTTGAAAGTTACTCATCCTTGTCTTTGTCGCTCAGGTCAGGTTGTTGAGATAATGTACAGCAGTAAAATCAGGTTTCTTAGCAGTGAGGATACCTCAGGCAGCACAGTGTGCACGAAAGAGCAGTGCGGTGTCTTTTCAGCAATGGCCAATTTAAGCAGATATCAAGGCAAACAATGTCGCAACAGATTCTGGTGTTGACCAGCCCTGCCTGATGGCTGTGGTCGCTGCCACACGCTGGGAATCACTAACAGTCATGTTGGGCAACACTAGCCCGTCAATTGATGGATGTGCAATTTATGGATCTGTTTGAAGGACCTGCTGTGACAGAGACAGGACATTTTCCAGCACTAATACTGCAGTCAAGCTGATCAACAACAACACTCCGCACTGTTAAATGCAATGCAGTAATCTGGAAGTAAATACAAAAAACAACAGCAGACCACAATCACACACCCCTGCACCAACGGTGTCAACTCTGTTGCAACTCAAGCTCTGAACCTGCTGCAGCCGGGACTCTGGTCAGACACCGATCCCACCTCTACGTTCTCACCTTAGTTTGAATCTGCTCTCGCAAGTTGAGGGTCTCGAGTGCGAAAGAGACTGCCACTGTGCACGTCATGAGCTGAAAAGAACCATAGTCAGTGGTGTTGAAGGTGGTACCAGGTTGAGAACTGGAACACACACACTTGGGATTCTAGATTGGAGGGTAGTCGGGTTGTTGGCACTTTGACACTGCAAAGGGTGGCAGCAGGCAATGGTAGCTTCCAGCGGACATGAAAAAACATTGTGCCCAAACGTGCCTTGTGTGGTCTTTTCTGCTCAGTAAGCTCAGGTTGCTGAGCAGAAGTGTGCACACACTGCAGGATTTGGGTAAAGGGGACATTGCCATGAAGATTTTGTGGCAGATGGCCACAACAACATCCATCCATGGAGATGCCAGGCTTCCCCTAATTGATGCAAAGCACGAAAGCTGAATAATCAGCTTTTTGTCCTCATTTCTACGTCGAGTCCTGGCTGCTTATCTTTCCAAGCAGAAGATATGCTATTATGTTGCAACAGTTAAAGGCCATGCAAGGGAACCCAATGCATCTATCAGACACACAAGTGCATTTGCAAAACAACTGAACTCTGAAGCAGAGATAATCAGCGTTCCCCATGAGTAGACTGGCTGTCAGATCAACTGTCAGCACGAATTGCACTTCCGTTCTGGTATGTATGGGTCCACAAACGAGTATGCGACAATTGGGTGAGGGATGAACTAAGGGTACAAAACTGCATGTCAAATGCAGGTGCAAGAACCCACAATGATGCAATGCATCCCGAGGATACCGACAATCCTTGCTGTGAACATTGCTGTACTGCACTGTGCCACACAGTGCTGTCCTGAAATGCAACAGTCGTACATAGCTCAGGCGTATCTAACCATTCATCTGGACACTGTTGGCAATCTCATCACAGCACAACACAGAGAACTGCCATGGGCAAAGTGTGCATGGCATTTTTTGTACAACGCTCTTTGGATGTACACACTGCCCTTCATCTACATTGCCAAAGGTTGCGACAAGGGTTGACCTGTTTTTGATTCGATTTCAGGGGTCTGCTCACGTCTGTTTGTAGCCCCAACGTTCGATGTAACAAGGAATTACACACTGCCCTTCATCACCTTCCAGGTGTCTATGTTTGATTCATTCAGCACAAATCTGGTCAAATAAACTACATCCAGGCACACACCTGACACAGCAACAGCAGTGGATCCAGACGCCAACCCTGGAACACAAGGGCGGCCCCAGTGACTGAGATCAATGAGGATATGATCACATCACTGTCGCGAGACAACGCTGGCTTGGATTTTCGAATCTGCAATGCAAACATGGGAAAGAACTGGCTTCCAGTGTTGAAAACTTGCAATGAATGATTCACTCTGTGCTGTGCCCAGGAGACCATTTGCATATCAATTGGGGGCGTTGTGCCTCAAAAAGCATCCCTGCATAAGGCTGCAACGCTTCTTTGGTATGCTTGCCTAGTGCACACCACAGGCAACACAAAGGCTCCATTGTCTCTGGCTGGAGACCAACACTTGTGGAAGGATCAATGCCCTCATTTCCTTCTTGACGCAAGGGCATGGTTTGTCATCTGAAGACAAATGTCAGCAGAATATGAATTCTAGGCTACATTGGATGCCATGGACGATCCCAATCTGCTTTCCATTTACACTCTCATCAGGGAATTGCGCTGTCGTGGAGCTGTGCACCGCATGTGTTACATCTTGACATTCAGTTGTCCATTGTTCTGTTTTCGGGAGGGGAAAATTATGTTATGGAAGTGTACATCGCTATACCACATTGGAACCAGCAGCACGAACATTGGCCCAGTTCTTGGCTGTCACATGCACTCATTAACAACAACCGATAACATCCCACAAGGCGCAGTGATTCCGAAGGCAGATGATTCCATGCAGCCGCAGTTCCAGGGGATCAGTCCCTGGGCGTCCAGCTTACGCTGAACAGCAGCACCCCGGAGCCGATGAGCCCAAGGCCAAGCACGAAGGAGGGGCTGCTGAGCTCCACATTCACCATCGCGAAGCACTGCATCGACCGGCCACGCCTGCGGATCCTGCTCTTGCACCAGCACCTCCGGAGTGGAATCAGCGGCTGGCGAAGGACCCAGCCTCCCTTTAGCGCCTTGGAGGGGCACATCCCGGCCGCCACCTGTGCCCACAACAGGCGGCCCCTGAGCAGCATTGTTTTCATGAGCGTGGATTTGTCCGATAGACAAGCGCATCAGAGCCAGCACGAGCATCAACTGCAAGGTGGTTCCGAAACATGGCGAGAATTGGACACAGTGCAGGGGGGGCGGTGGGGGAGGGGGCATGGTGAGCTGCGAGAACATGTTTTTTTGCGCCGACAAGACAGGCACATCAACGGCCAAACAAAGGCAAGCCGACTTCAATCGCAAGCGGCCTGTCCACAGAGCAGATACGGGAAGAGGCCGCCAGTGAAGCGTCAAAGAACGGATTGGACCCTTGATGCAGTGCTCCTGCGCGGTGGCTCTGCGCAATCAATGCTACCCGCACTGCGATTCGCAGGGCAACCTGAGCCCCTCGGCTTGCTCGCAACTTTGCTCACCGGTGATCGTGGGCCCAAGGCTTGTAGGCGCATTGTCATGGCGCAACGGCTTCGCCTGTAGAGTTGAGCGCAACAGAAATGGACCTGGGCGGCAGCCAGTTGCGAGGGGGTGCTTTCTGTGGGCCTGCAGGCCCAATCCCCTGAGAGTGCATTGCAAGTTAATGTGCTGCAAAATGGCAAAGTGCGTCACTGGCATGGAGAGTTGTGATGTGCCCCTCACGTGGCGAGGTCGTTGGTGCTCGCGAGAGCAGTAATTGGGGCCTCTGCAAGCGTTGCATTCTTTGTGAACCGGCCGTCCGCTGTGTTGACACATCTCCCAAAGTGTTGCCATACTCGGTGCAACTGCGAGACGACTTGGGAAGAGCCTCACAACGCCCTTTTTTACTCATCATTGAAACAACGCTAGGCTGTCATGTGGGTTGCGTCCCTTAACGGATCGCTCGATCTGCTTAGACATTGACCTGCAGTACCTCGGCCTATTCCTAGGGGAGGTATCAGCCGTAGTATCGAAGAACCATATTTTGAAGTACCCTGTCCAGGAGAACCGACAAGAACGACGAGGGAATGTGTCGCCAGAACTGACATGGTGCTGCATCAAGTGCAGTGACGCACCATGGGCGCGGGATAGCTTTGGGTGCCACACCTTGAGTGGGGGTGGGCCCCAGGGTGGCCCACCGTAGGCGGACTTGGGGTTGCAACACCACGGTGTGCAACAACTCTTTCTGCTACTCCATGGAATCCTCATGGGTGGTAATCTGGACTAACATACAATATCTATCAGCTACTTTGAGATGTGATTGACTTGATGTCCCTGTTGGGGATACTCGTCACATATGACGGTGCGACAGGGGTACAGCAGTGCTCCAGTGCAATGGTACTCCGGTGTTGCTTGCAGCAATTGTCTCACAATTGTGAGAAGGTCGGTGTGTCCCACCCTTTGCGAATGGAGCCTTTTGGGTAACGTATCTTCATGCAACATCCTACGTCCAGTTCAATTTCGTCCTCCGTCAGCACTCGCGGGGATTAGTGTCCATCTGTAGTGACGTCATATCGACCTGGCAGCAGGCCACTGCGGGTGCATTCTGACACCGCCAAGCACAGCTCGGCTTCCCATTTCATATTTTTCGACCTGACCAACCTTGGGACGGAAGATGCGTCATCGGCACCCCTTTCTGTGGTGGTACGGGGCTGAACACTACACCTGCCCTTAGCAGGTTATGGGCACGTGCGCGTATGCATTGCTGGACGAAAGGCCCCTAGAAGTCCACCGCTGCGGAAATCAAAGTGGTGAGCTGCCTCAGGGATTCACAGCTGCTGGGCGCGGCGCCCGCAGTGATCTAAGCTACAAGCTTCGGAAATACCGCTTGTTCTTATTCAAAACTCGCAATTGCACGCGCATTCTGGCAAACATTTCTGATCAGAAATTTCTTCAATGGCGTTCGTGAATGCCATTGAGACCTGCAAAATAACAACGACAAACTCCCACAGGCATCCCGTGGCCCTGCGGCATACACGCCACGACAACTGGGGAGCTGGGCGCAGCTGATGTAGCTTGGAGCGATTAATCGCCAATATTGGCGATACTGGAACCCAACGAGGCAAAGCACCTCTCGGATCCGAGAAGTGACGTCCGCACGTCACACCCCAGCGAGCTACGTGTTCATGCTGCTTCACTGCTGTGGGGTGGCGATGAGCGGAGGTGTTGCCATCTGGCCAGTACCACTGGATCTTGGGTTGATGTGGGCAGTGCGAGAACGCCATACGCTGTGACGGAGGAGATGGCGTTCTTGCAAGAGCTGCGCCACAAGGGGGAACGGCGCAGCAAAGTCACAAAGGGGGGGAACAGCCTCAATGCTATTGATTCAATACACCAGTAGAAAACACCCTGTTTGTGATGCCAAGTGCGATGCCATTTTGACACAAATTGATGCCATCACAGCCATTTTTATGCCATCGCACTCACTGTGACGGCATCAATTTTTGTCAAAATGGCATCGCAGCTGGCATCGCAAACAGGCTGTTTTCTACCAGTGATACGTCTGCCAGGCGAGCACGTAATCGGGTGATGGATTATTCAGCGAACGCGAATGGGAGGACGGCAGATCTCAAGTCATGCACGGCAAAGGTTGTTTGACGACATAATCGACGCTTCTGTGTTGGTAGATGCGGGCGCCATGGGTTGGCTGGACACAGGTGCTCACCGATTGCGTACGCCTGTCGTTAGTGTGGCAGTGATCCATGCAAGGGTGCGAGCTAAGCGCGTGGAAGAGGCGGGTATTGGCAGCCAGAAGTTGTTGAATGGGCCAAGCGTTAGAGGTTTGTTGCTGACATGCTACTGCTTGCTACTGGCTGCTGACATGCTACTAGATGCTACTGATTGATCGGACATGGATGCTAGTGATTAAGTTTGCATGTCTGTGAGGTTGCGGGGGCTGTCTGCATCTCAACGTCGTGAAGAGATTTCCCGTATTTTCAAGCGCACTCTTAGACGTTGAATGAAAATGAGGAGTGACGCTCGCATTGCGTTGCAATAAGTACTGGGAGCCGTGTCCTCATTTCTCAACTTGCCAAAGGAAAGTTTCGCCTCGAGATTACGGTGCAGCCAAGGCAATGTATACAGCGATCACGGCAGCAACACCGGAGTTCCTTACGCAGCATTTAGAGTCACACGGCATCAGATGCATTTATGCCACAGTGCCATGGCAATGGTCAATGTGTATAGGCATGCATGCAGCTTGTATAACTTTCCTATAGACACGATTGTTTTCTTTGAGTTATTATTTATATAAATGCATCTGATGCGCTGTGACTCTGATCCCTTGCGCCGAATATGCTTGCTTTGATTAACGCAATTGTAGAGACGGGCTTCTGTGGCGCACCAGATTTCTTGCAGAAATTTCTGCACTCCATTGACATCATTCTGCACCGCGCTAGCGTTGGCGATCGAGCAAAAATACCATGCGTCTTTTGGAACACTACCAAGAATTCCCTGGGCACCGTTGGGATCGTCCTGCGAACTTTGTTCACAACATAAATAGATATGCAGAGCACTTATGAGAACTTATCATACATACCGTATGTAGATGGTTCATGCAGGCTGTATGATACAGCCTTCGGGACTCCGGGGAATGGTGTCTAGACGCATTGGAATGGACACAAAACGAACATTGTTCCACTCCATCATGGCCCTTGGCGAGTGGGAAGTGGACACTGTGTTGCGGGCGCTCAAGAGTGTGGAGTACTGATCACTGTACGCAACTTCCATCGTGTAGCCTGGGTGTCACAAGGTTCCGCAAAAGACGTTAAAACCACCGTAAAAATAGCCTCTTTTGCAAAATTGTGCTATTGCGCGTAAAAAAAATGTAAACGTAAGAACCTAAACGTGAACGCAAATAACAAGCCTGGACCAAAGCTTGCCGCAGGATCCTTCAGAGGTCACAGCTGTGCGCAGCCCGCCAAGGACGCGGTCCCACGGCTGGTGGCAAAAAGTGGAGCAGGCGATAAGGGTCGCAGCCGTCCGTCTGGAAACACCGGCTATCAATGGCGACGGATTGGTCTGCCCTCCAGTTCGTTTGAAGCGACATACAGCGAGCCGCGGCGAGAAGAATGCATATTGTGCCCAAGAGGCCATGCAAAAATGAAGTCTCTAGACGTTTCCAATATTTTAGATTCACTAGACAATCCAATGGCGGCTTCAATAGGACTCACCTTTCAGATATTTTCATCAGATACACTTCCCTGACGGCGGCCTACGATACTGCCCCTGCTGGCGCTGTGCAAATCACTTGCACAGAATTCGCCGAGCACGAACATGCACCATCATCAGCATATGGACCACAAAGGTTGCGATTAATCCTTACCGAGCAAAATTATAGAATTTTGGCACATTATTTTTTTGATGGACGGTGTACTGTGCTGGGATGCAATATTGGGAGATTACCTCGGCCGTATCTGTATTTGAGCACTTATAGTCTGATAATTGAAGAGTAATAACGACGCCGGCACCGCAAGTCCACAGCATTCCGGATATGGATTGGTAAGAGCTGCTGAAAAAACATACCTGGCCCATGCGATGTTGGCCATCATCCTCAATCGACGCAATCTAGGATCATCGGCAAATACGCCTGCTGGACTATTTAGGTGGCATATTTGTCTCTGCGGCACTGGCGGGCGTTATCAAGCAGAATTTGCATTACTTTGAATGGAGAAGGGAAGTTTCACCTTCAACTGATGCATTTTATATATCGCGTTGTGCATTTTCTCCTGGAATGCAGCTTTGTGCTCAGGAAAAGCAAGTACGTAACACACTGAAAGGCAATTAATATCCATTTTCCTTCTTCCGGGAGAAGATAGAGCTCGCAGTTTGCATCTGCTCAGTGAACCCATCGATCTGCTGCCAGAACCTTTGATGTACTTCAGTGCCACTGGATGTCTGACATCACATTTTTTGGTATGTTGTTCACCATTCAGCAATCAGGCCATCGCGATCAAGCGACAACGTGCCTGTAGGTGGCTGATTGATGAACTGGGATGTGCACAGACATGCAAGAAATTATTCAATTGTTACAATT